GAAGGATTCAAACCCCAACAAGTGTTTAGTTGTGATGAAACAGGCCTGGTTTGGAAGAAAATGCCAAACAGGACCTACATTACCCAGGAGGAAAAGGCACTGCCAGGACACAAGCCTATGAAAGACAGGCTTACTCTTTTGTTGTGTGATAATGCTAGTGGGGATTTCAAAGTGAAGCCTTTACTCATGTATCACTCAGAAAATCCCAGTATGTTCAAGAAAAACATGTCATGAAGAATAGATTGTGTGTGATGTGGAAAGCTAATCATAAGGCATGGGTCACAAGGCAAATTTTCAAAGAGTGGGTTAATGATGTGTTTGGCCCAAGTGTGAAAAAATACCTCCTGGAAAAGAAATTGCCACTCAAGTGCCTCCTGGTACTGGACAGTGTTCCTGCACATCCTCCAGACTTGGAAGACCAAGCATTTAGGGACTTCAGTTTTATAAAAGTGAAGTTCTTGCCTCCTAACACCACTCCTCTCCTCCAGCCCATGGACCAGCAGGTCATTTCTAACTTCAAAAAACTCTACACAAAAGCAGTGTTTCAAAAGTGCTTTGAAGTGACCTCGGACGCTCAGTTGACCCTAAGAGAGTTCTGGAGGAATCACTTCACTATCCTCCATTGCATAAGTATTATAGGTAAGGCTTGGAAGGGAGTGACTTCCAGGACTTTGAACTCTGCTTGGAGAAAGCTGTGGCCAGATTGTGTCCAAGAGAGGGATTTTGAAGGGTTTGAGGCTTACCCTGACCTTGCTGACCCTGTGAACTCGATTGTGGCACTGGGGAAGTCCCTGGGGTTGGAGGTGGTTGGAGGTGAGTGGCGAGGATGTGGAAGAGTTGGTGGAAGACCACAGGGAAAAGCTAACCACTGAAGAGCTGCAAGAGCTTCAACTTGCAATAGACTGCAGCCAAGGAACTTGCTTCAGAGGAGGAGGAAAAGGGAGTGAAGGAGATGCCTTCTTCAGAGATTAAAAAGGTGTGTGGAATGTGGACTAGGGTGCAAGCTTTTGTAGAGAAACACCACCCTGATCAAGCTGAAACAAGCCATATCTGCAACATGTTTAGTGACAAAACCCTGTCCCACTTCAGGGAAATCTTAAAGAGATGCCAGAAACAGAGCACTCTGGACAGTTATTTTGTGAGACAGGAGTCCAGTGACTCTCAAGCTGGTCCTAGTGGCATTAAAAGACAAAGAAGGAAAGTAACCCCAGAGAAGGCTTTGCTACCTAAAGTCTTTATGGAGGAGGATTTCCCTTCCAAACACTTAACTCCTCCCTCTTTCCTCTTCCCTATCTTCCAGAAGCCAGCATTAGCCTTCAATAAAGGTATATAATATTTTTTTTTTTTTAACAAGTCGGCCGTCTCCCACCAAGGCAGGGTGACCCAAAAAGAAAGAAAAAATCCCCAAAAAGAAAATACATTCATCATAATTCAACACTTTCACCTCACTCACATATAATCACTGTTTTTGCAGTGCTCAGAATACAACAGTTTAGAAGTATTTACGTATAAAAATACACAGTACATGTATATTCCTCCAAGCTGCCAATATCCCAAACCCCTCCTTTAGAGTGCAGGCATTGTACTTCCCATTTCCAGGACTCAAGTCCAGCTATATAAAAATAACCAGTTTCCCTGAATCCCTTCACTAAATATTACCCTGCTCACACTCCAACAGATCGTCAGGTCCCAAATACCATTCGTCTCCATTCACTCCTATTGAACACGTTCATGCACGCCTGCTGGAAGTCCAAGACCCTCGCCCACAAAACCTCCCTTACCCCTTCCTTCCAACCTTTTCGAGGACGACCCCTACATTAATTCTTATGGGAAATATTATTTCAGTTTTTGGTTGACCTTTTGGAATGGATTACTGCCGATAACCGAGGGTCCACTGTTTCAAAAACCAAGCAGATGTACAAAAACTGAGACAAAATTTTGACAAAAAAAGTCGTCAAAAACCGAATCCTACGAAAACTTGGGCATACGAAAACTGAGGTTCCACTCTATTTTAAAACCAGAAAGTCCACTTGCTTCATGTTCAAATTCTCGATCAAAATGCTTTAGATTTCATTCTGTTACACAAAAATTCACAACAACACACTGACAGCATAATTAACCCTTTCAGGGTCCAAAGGCCAAATTTCAAAGTGCGCACCAGTGTCCAAGAATTTTCAAAAAATAATTTTGTAATTTTCTCTTATGAAATGGTAGAGAATCTTTTTCTGAAGGTAATAAAACAAAAAGTACGAAATTTGATGGAAAATTGACGAAATTATGCTCTCGCTAATTTTGATGTGTCAGCGATATTTACGCATTGGCGATTTTACCGACTTTGACTCCCATTTTAGGCCAATTATATTACTCCAGTTGACCAAATTCTTAGCTATTTCACTAGTATTACTTCTATTCTATCGATTGAGCACAAGAAATTACCAAGTCATCTGTTTCAACTACAAAATAAAGTGATCGGAAATTGGTAATTTGGCCAATTTAATGCAAAGTTCAAAATACAGTGGTCCCTCAATAATCGTCCATAATCCGTTCCTGGAAGTGGGACTATTATGGAAATGGACGATTTACGAATCAATTATCCCCATAAAAAATAATGTAAATTCAATTAATCCGTTCCTGACACCCATAAGTATTAAAACAAAAATTTTTTTTACATGAAATATAGATGTAGTACATAAACAATACAGTGGCACATGATGAATTAAACATTAACAGAATAACACTTACCTTTATTGGCAATTCTTCTTTGTGTATGGAAGACTGGAGAAGGAGACTGATTAGATGATTTACTGTTTGGAAGGGGAATCCCCTTCCATCAACACCTCGGGTACCAATTGCTTTTCTGGGGTTACTTCTCATCTCTGTTTCTTAATGCCACTAGGACCACTCTTTGGCATTTTCTTCCAAAAGAGGCCTGTTTCATCACAATTGCACACTTGTTCAGGTTTCAGTCCTTCACTGTTTATGTACTCCTTGAATTCATGCACATATTTTTCAGCCGCCTTGTGGTCCGAACTGGCAGCCTTACCACACTGTGTATGCCAGTACGCCTCTTAAATCTCTCAACCCAGCCTTTGCTGGCCTTAAATTCACTCACATCACCACTAGTTGCAGGCAGTTTCTTTACCAAATCGTCATGCAACTGCCTAGCCTTTTCACAAATAAGCAACGTCATAAGACTATCTCCTGCTAATTGTTTCTCATTTATCCACACCAATAATAACTTCTCAACATCTTCGAGTACTGGTGATCTCATTTTTGTCAGCATATTTACCCCCTTTGCAACAATTGTGTCCTTGATTTCCTTTTTCATGGCTATGATGGAAGATATGGTTGTACGGGATTTGTTATACATCCTGGCCAGTTCGCCCACACGTATGCCACTATCATATTGTTCAATGATGTTTTTCTTAAATTCAATTGTATTTCTCACCTTCTTTACCAAAGGCTTGGCACTAGGAGCTTTCTTTGGAGCCATGGTAGCTTATTTAGCACTTAAATAACTTGCAAGCACTAAAATAAATGAAATATTATGAAATATTTTGCTGGAGCACGTGATGGGACCGTCGCTCACTGGTAAACAATGGCACACTGGCTGGGAAGGAAAGGCCAAGGCGGCTCAGAGCGTGAGTACGCGTCCGGGACGAAGGACTATTAGCGAGTTACCGGACCATTTGCGAGCCAATATTCTGATGAGAAAACAGGACTACGTATTTCCGAAATGGACGACTTTCAGGCCGGACAATTATTGAGGGACCACTGTATTCTAATTTCAAAATAGAGTCCTCAATAAACAATGTAGGCAATCCTGGTACTAAACTAACATTTCCTCTGTTCATTAGTTACGTTTCCAGTCTTTACAAATGAATTCCATTTTGATTTTTTATTCACATAATGAATTTTTATTCAGACCAAAAAATAGAAGATTTACTGTTATGCAATATATTGTAATAATTGTATAAATAATATCACCACATTTGTGAACATATATTAGGCCCACCAGCTGGCATGTATTAGACGTATGGGATCATTTGTTTACTCTTGAACATCGGCAAAAATTTAGCATTTCTGCTATTTTGAGCTCAGTTTCAACCCATCTCCATTACTAAAAACCAATCAGAATCATCTCTATTTCTGTAATATATCTTCCATTCTATCAAATGAGACCAAGAAATCGCAACTACAACTATAAAAAACATACGAAAAACACTGCAAAGTTGCTGTTTTAATCGAAAATTACGGTCTCAGTTTTTTTTCTCTCATTATGCACTGTGTGCTGCAGGATTTGTTTTATGTGGTGCACACATACCACATAGATGTATTCTCTCATATCTATGCCCAAATTTACCACTCACAGCTTATCAGAGTGAGCTAAGCTCATGGCGTAGATCTACAGTTTGGACCCTCAACTTATAGCCGTAGATCTACGGCACGGACCCTCAAAGGGTTAAATATGCCTGTCTTCCCTCAGTGGAATGATTGACTGCATTGAAAGTCACCACACTACTTTACAAAACAATGTAGTGCTGAGCATGGTCTTTGCTGCTGCCATTTTTATCCAGGAACTTTTCGATAGCAACTTGTTCATGGTACAATGAACATCACTTCAAATGATCTATATTTATCAGTAATATTAGCTTCATGTAAGGCAGCAGCAGTGCAGTGGAGCAAGACATGATAAAGCATTGAAGAATTAAAGTCAGAAGACTGTGGCTGCAACAGAAATAACTATACCCATAATTTGGAGAGGAATCCTTAGATAACATTGCTGCATGTCATAGACCTTTATTAAGTTCCGACTGAAAGAAGTTTACTACTTGATAATGGTTCATGATGGACTCAGATATTGCTTAAGGTTTCCTTTATAATTTACAGGTTAGCAATAAAGCAACTCTCAGCACTTAACTTTGTTGTTTTAGCATAAGTTTAAGACATAACATAATTTGGATATAGGTTATTCTTCTATAATGACCCTTTTTTTTCAGGACCTGAAGCCTAGCAATATTGTAGTAAAATCTGACTGTACACTCAAGATTCTAGATTTTGGTTTGGCGCGAACAGCAGGAACCACATTTATGATGACTCCTTACGTGGTCACTCGTTACTACAGAGCTCCAGAGGTTAGTTCATTCACACCTTTACTCACTCACTCATTCTTAACTTTATCTAATTTTCAAAATAAGTGCATTTCAACTTATTATGTAGACAGCATTTAGCTAACTTACAGCAAAGTAGCTAATAATATGTAAGCAGGTTTCCATAACATGAAGTGCATTTGAATACACTGGAATATCCCAGACCTCAACATTCTCTTTCCTGAAAGATTTTTTTTTTTTTCAATAAACTGGCCATATCCCACCAAGGCAGGGTGACCTAAAAAAAAAAAAAAGTTTCTCTTTTAGATTTAGTAATGTATACAGAAGAAGGGGTTACTAGCCTCTTGCTCCCGGATTTTAGGTGCCTTTTACGACACGCATGGCTTAGGAGGAAGAATTCTGTTCCACTTCCCCATGGAGATAAGAGGAAATAAACAAGAGCAAGAACTATTAAGAAACAGAAGAAAATCCAGAGGGATATGTATATATTTGTATGTACATGCATGTATAGTGTAACCTAAGTGCAAGTAGAAGTAGCAAGATATACCTGGTATCTCACATGTTTGTGAGACAGATAAAAAAAAGACACCAGCAATCCTACCATCATGTACAACAATTACAGATTTCCGTTCCACACTCACTTGGCAGGACGGTAGTACCTCCCTGGGTGGTTGTTGTCTGCCAACGTACTACTTATATCCTTCACACACATACGAGTTTATCTGTGGACATAATTCCTCATAACATATAATACTCCACGACTGAAAGAATGGTGAAATAGATTTATTTGTGGATGTAAAGTTGGGGATAGAAAATTGTGAATGTAAATTGTAAATAACAGTGAAAATAAGTGCTTTTTATTGGGAGTGAGATGCCATCTGAGAAAAAAAACATGGTAAACCCCAATGAAAGAAGACAGGGTACACAGAAATGCAATGAAATAATACAGGGTACACAGAGAGATACATAGCACTGGAACATGGTGAACAGGTTCCACATTTAACTGGACCAAATATACCTCCTGCCACGTTACCATCAGCACTTGGGAGACCAGAAATATGTCCACCAAGAGCCATGTACTATTAATTTTGGCATAGCTTTCATAGTAGTTTTTTTTATGAATAAGAGTGAGTCCAAACTTTTATCTGTACTTATGAGTGATTGTGAACAATAAGAAAACTCTCACCCAATCCTAGAATACACTACTTCACATCTCAGGACCTTCCCAAGGTAAATTCCTTGGGAAGGAGTTAGAGAGCTCTAATTTGTTACTTGAGGGTGACAAATATTTCCTCTACTGTCTTGACCCCACAGACTGCAGGTTCTGCACCAGAAATCACTCTATCACATTTTAGTTGTGGTTTCTTGTTAACATGGCAATGTGTGGAGAGGGTTGATGTGGACCTGCTGGCTGGCTGGGTTCATATATTGATGTGGATGAAATGTTGTCAGTAATTCATGGTTGTATTGGAGTGCTTATTCTCTTCAGACTAGTACTTCTAGACTTCTTGTAATTCTTTTCAGTAAAAAATTCTGCAACTATACACACAATGTGGAATTACTTATTTAACCCCTGCATTATTAACTGTTTATCTTAACCCTTTCAGGGTCCGTGTCGTAGTTCTATGGCTTGGAGTTGTGGATCCAAACCGTAGAGCTACGCCAAAATTCTAGCGACCTCAAATTTAGCTCTAGAAGGCTGGTAGGTTTACATCTAAGAGAATGGGTCTGGGTGGTAAGTGTGCACACTATAGAAAAAATCTGGACGCCCGCATGGGATTGTGGGAATGCCACCAAAGTGGCTTTGTTCACCATGCCTGGCGGCAAGGAAGCTCTCATTACCCTGGCGAATTCTGACTCTTCTCTTCCCAACTTATAATTCTAAGTTTGATGGAAGTGGATCTGAAGAAAAATTCTATGGTTCTGAACCATATGGTACATTGTACCATATGGTACAGTGGTGCCATATCATACAGTGGTATCATATGGTACAATAGTACAGTGTACAATATGGTACATTGTACCATATGGTACATTATACCATATGGTACATTGTATCACATGGTACAGGGACCCTAATGGGAATACGTCTGTCTGACTTTTTTGGTTATCCTAGGTCTCCACACATATGCTGCTATATGTATGATAATCTATGTAACTTTATTTGTGTATACCTAAATAAACTTACTTACAATGCCACATGTGTTTGAGTAAGTATATTCAGGTGTACACAAATACAGTTACATAGATTATCATACATAGTAGCATATGTATAAAATCCTAGGATAACCCAAAAAAGTTAGGGTGACTTATTTCCATGGGAATCCCTGTATCTGTACCTTATGGTGCCCTGTACTGTATGGTACCATGTGGTACCCTGTACTATATGGTACCATATGGTACCCTGTACTGTATGGTACCATGTACCATATGGTACCTTGCACCATATGGTACCCTGTACAATATGCTACCTTGCACCATATGGTATTCTATACCATATAATACCCTGTACCATATGCTACAATGTACCATATGATGCCCTGTACCACATGGCCAGTAGGAGGTGTTGGTGCCACGAGGGACCGGCCAGGACTGAGTGAGTGAGTGTGGGACACTGACTCAGCAGTTTCCAAGACAAAGCACTTCGTCATCCACCTCAAGCAACATATCCAGTAGCTGTACATATGTAAAAATATGTAATAGAACATTACTAATATACAACATTTTTGCATTTTTTGTTGTAAGCAATTAGTATTGTAAATGATATAATGATGAAAATATTAGTGCGGTTATTGAGTTGAATACAATAGTACCATATGGTACAATGTACCATATGGTACCATTGTACAATATGGTACTACATGTATATGGTATTGTTGTATTCAACACAACCACACTAATATTTTCATCATTATTTTTTTGCAAAAAACTTGTAAACAAGTTTTGTGAGCAATATAATGATAAATTAATACAGTTATTGTGTTGAATACAATGAGTGTACATTTATACATTATATTGGTCTTACAGGCCACAAAAGTTACTGGGAAAAAATATTAGAAAAGAAAAAAAATTAACAAAAACCTAAAATAAAATAACGAGACACTACGGAAGCTGCGGATGTTGCTGCCACCAGGTCATTGAAGGTCTACTTCATGCCTCTATATCTCGGTAACTACTGGTCGAATTTTTTTGTTTTGTTTTATTACCTACGGAAAATTAATATCTTTAATTCTGCCATATTTTTTTTTTTTCCAAAAATTCTTGGACCCTGGTGTACCCTCTGAGATTTGGCCTCTGGACCCTGAAAGGGTTAAAGTTCTTCCTCATTTTTTTTTTTTATCTGCCACCTGCATAAGAATTTTTCTCTTCAAGCATTTCTGCTGCATTTGGTTCTTCATTTTCTTCTATCAGTTTGTTCACATTGTGTTCATGTATATCTTCAGAGTCCTCACTTCTTACAGTCCTTGCCAGGGTCAGAATTAAACATATTAACTCTTTCACTGTCGAAGCCCCTGATCACAAACTTGCTCTCAGTGTCGAAAAATATTCGAAGAAAAAAAAAAATTTTTCATACCAAAACCTTAAGAATATTTTTCTGATTGTTTTAAAAGAAACAAAAATTTTTGCAATCAGTACTTACCGAGATATAGTGGCACGAAGTTGACAGAAAGTGAACCGCTTACGGCCACATCGGCAACTGCACTCCCTCAGTAATATTATTTTTACTTTTATTCTATTTTTCTTTTCTAATATTTTATTTTTTCAAGTAACTTTTGTTGCCTGTGAGACCAATATAATGCATAATGTATATATATCCACTCATTGTATGCAACACAATAACTGCACAAATATTATCATATTGTTTGCAAAACATGTTTAAGCAAACCCACGCTGCCTTCCCCATCACTCACACTGCCTTCCCCACCAACCATGCTGTCTTCCCCACCAACCATGCTGTCTTCCCCACCAACCATGCTGTTTTCCCCACCAACCATGCTGTTTTTCCCACCACCCACATGGAAATAAGTCACTTTGTCTGACTTTTTTAAGTTATCCTAGGTAATGTTGTTTACACAAACCCATGCTGCCTTCCCCACCAACTATGCTATCTTCCCTACCACCCACATGGAAATAAGTCACTTTGACTTTTTTAAGTTATCCTAGGTAATGTTGTTTACACACACCCATGCTGCCTTCCCCACCAACTATGCTATCTTCCCCACCACCCACATGGAAATAAGTCACTTGGGAAGAGTCCCAGTTTGCCAGGGAGTGAGGTATTCCTTACTGCTAGGCATGGGTGAACAAGGCGTACTGAATTAGCACACCCACAATGTACTGCAGCCTCCCCGATTTTTTTTATACTGCTCACACTGGTGACACAGACCCATTCTCTCACATGTAGGTCTACTAGCTTTCTCCCGCTAGATTTGAAGCCACTAGAATTTTGGCGTATTAATACGTCAATGACACTGGCTTGTAAGCCATATCTATACATCACCGACAGTGAAAGGGTTAAAAATAAACCAGAGAAATTATTTGCCATGGAATGCCCAAAAAAAGCTTTTTAATTCAATTAACAAAATTATGATTAATGAATGTAGTGTAATTGATCAAGTTCTGCCAAGCAAATATGAGCCTTCTGCACATGGAAAAATAGACATTCAGAAACTATGAATGTATTTGGTGAAAAATAATTTCTGGATAATAATTTTTGCTTTCATGTTTGCTAGTTCATATCTGTGAGTCATCAGTTGTAAGGAAATAATTGGTTCTGAAGTGTCCATTTTTAAGTGCAAATATTTGTAGTTCATATGACTGGAAGTCAGAGATCAGCTGTATGTAGGCTAGTGGACAGCAACCATCCAAGAAAGTACAACACTACCATCCTGCCTATAATTTCATATGATGCTTATTCCTCTTAACATTTCCTTCCTAATTTAGGAGGCCTGGTTAGAGATCATTTGTGAAGAGAATGAACCAAAGAAAAATTAATAGATTAACGTGAACTTATTCAAGTTCAC